ATTCTATGATTCTATGATTCTGTGATATCTATACAAGTAAACTAAATAGTGCAGGAGTGGGTGGGCTTATGCATCATCCCGTTACTGCATGGGCCCTGGCACTGTTTTGGCCCTGGACAGCTGCCACTCTCCCAAACCTGCCTCACTGGGGAATAGCATGGGGCAGCACCTGTGCCCCGGCGACAATTTGGCAATTGCTGGAGAGGGGCAGATAGTTCAGCTGTACGGCTGTGAGCTGTGCCACATCGTGGAAAATGGGCCCTGGCCCTTTCTGTCTCCTTGCACAGAGACATCCCTCATGCTAAGACATCTCTGGTTAATCTAATTTGTAAATCAGTCATCTAAATACTACCTATATGTATGTATAGGCAAGGAGAAGCAGTATCCCTTTGCCTTAGCCATACTTCTTCCTTGTATGAAATACTTGTGGGGAAGACCAAATGGGCCTACATTCACCTCCTCTCCAATACACAAACTTGCTGATATGTTTGAGGATTATAAATGTGGCCTCAAAATACATGAAAAAAGTATGAAATGGAGAAAGAGAAAAAGGATGAATGAGTGAGGCATGAAAATGCTTATTGCTGATGAGGATGGAAGAAGTATGATGTTGCATACTACTTCCTTCCCTGCGGTGTGAACGTCCCTTATGTGTAAACTTATCCACAGGAGTGAGAACCCGAAATGATAAACTGCAGCAATTTATTTTGCACAAAACACAGGAGAAAAAAAAATCATACTGCTTGGTCACCCAGGGATAGTTATAAAGCAAGCTGTCTTCTTTCTGTTTTCTCAAATTACTTTTTCAAAGAAAAATTAATGGCTTTTGATATTTGCTTTTGTGTTAAAAAACAGAAGCGGGCAACTATGACCAAAATGAATGTGGAGAATTTTCATTTGTCTTAAATTATCTCAAAATTTTAAAATAAAACATGAAAAAAAAGCAGCTTTGGTAAATATTTTCATTAGCAAAATCCCAGTTTTATTTTCTTCATTTTTTCATACAAAGTCCAAAACCCTAAAATTTCTAAAAATTTCCTACACCACCTTGTCTCATTAAAAACACTAGATACTAGTCTACAGTTCCAGAAGAGGATTTCTATAAGACAATCTGTTTATATATGTTTTACACTCTGACAGTGGCTGGTTTTAACACTAATATCTGGGATCTTTAGCCTTCTCCTAAGCTCACTTGCAAGCATGAGAAAAGGCATGTAGCATATAGTGCAGTCTTTTACCAGAGCATCTTTTGGCAGCTGCTTGTAATGAAATGATTGAGAACTCTGCAGCAAAATCCTTCATTCAGCTCTGCCTACAGTAAGGTGTCCTTATAATATAATTATTTTTCTAAGGCAGTAAAATGTAATTACAGCGCTTTTCATCCAGGAATAGTTATACTTTTTGGGGGGAATATTAATCAATATTTCATTGAAGCAGTGTAAAAAAGGAGAGGTTTTTAGTTAGTGGTCTAAACACATGACTTAAAAGTTCAAAAAAATAGGACATATCAGTTAAACAAGTCACTGAGGCACCTACCTTTATTACCTCACTTAACTCAGAGTTGACCTTTTGTGGTCCTGCCAAAATAGTTGTGGCACTTAGCAGAATGCCATTCACTTCATCTATTTGCTCTTTTATTTTCTCATGTTGTTTCTGCATAAAATAAAATTAAATTAAATTAAATCATATCCAGAACTGTTTGTGCATTGTTAAAATACAGTGTTACCATTTTTGTTAAATTTATTAAAGTTAATTCAAAAGATTAAGTGATGAACTAAATAGATTTTAGACAAATTTGAAGTCTTAAGTTTTTCCCAGACATCTCTGGGATGTAGCTGATATTATAATGTGATTCTTTGCATTTTCTTGTCTTTGTGAAAGAAATGTTGCATTTTTTAAAAATTTATTAATTTCATTTTATATTACAGCATGAGCAATTATTGGAATGAAGCATTATTCAGTACACTGCCAGCAGAGACAAATTAAACGTGGATTTTTCATAGTGGTCTGGAGACTAGTTTTTTTCTGGAGGTTTTTTAAATCTACAGTACAGAGATCTCTTTTCCTTGTCAATAGTAAAGCTAATGTGAACAATCTCTTTTGCATCTGCCTTTATTGTGAGGAATAATGAAGATCCAACTGGTTAAAAACAGTGAAAAATTACGACAACCACTTCAGGCTTTGCTTCATAAATGTGAGACGAGCTGCAGCTTGGCACTGTAATTATGAGACAATGGAACACCAGAAGAGGCTTTGTACATAAGGATCCCAAGCTGTTTGTAGAAGAATTCATCAGAACAGCACGCCTGATTTCTTTATTGAATTATTAGACCTTCCTCATCAGCGTGAACTTCTAGCGCTGCAAATTTCAAGAGCTCAAAACTCAGCCACTGATGCTATGAAATCCAGAGGTTGGCCTGAATTTGCAAGATTGTTCTTCAAATCACAAAATTGCTCCCTAAACCCCTCTCCAGAATCCAAACAATTTCAGCCATTGAAATGAAAACAGTTTGCTTCAAATGGTCCCAAATTGTTCTCTTTGTCATTTTCTTCCTTGATGAAAAAATAAATGAAAAGTTTTAGGTGGGACATTCTGGTTTTGCATCCCTTAAAGGAAAATAAAGAAAACAGAGAAAGAGTCACAAAACTGCTGGAAGGAGAAAAAATAGTCTTTTTGTATGGCTGATGGATTGGGTGCTTTTCTGGGATAACAGATCTGAAAATTCAATTTCCTCATCAGCCAGATGGGATTTGAACCTAATACCACCACTTACAGGCAAACATGCCCCCCTTCTGTGCTGTAGGGGACAGGTCTCCTCTGAGCTCTTCTCTGGAGTGATTACTTTGTCCAAAATACTGAAACTATTCATTTGAACAGAGCATAAGGGAAAACTGCTGTAGCCTTATAGCTAGGCTGTTCACCCAGCAAGTAGGAAATCCAGTTTCAAGGTATCTGTTGTGGAGCAGTTAGAGAATGGATTTGTGCTTGAAGATGCAAGGACAATCATCTGTTCTTCCTGAAAAAACAGGGATGCATTTTGTTTAAAAAGGACCAGAGAGAAAGTTTGGACGAGACAGTAGGAATGCACTCACAGTTCAGGGCATGAATGCAGTGCAGAGTCTTTATAAATAATTGTTTTAATAGAATATAATTACTTTTGAGAGCATGAAATCCTTCCCTATTATAAATCAGTACATAATAGGTGAAACAATCCCACCACAATATTTATAGCAGCCATGCTACATGGAATTTTAAGCTTCTTGGGTTTTGTTGTAATATGTCTTCCTAGTTTAGGCATCAGTATCCATCTCTTCCTTGGCCTGCTGAGACATGCCATGCCAAAACTTGTCATGTATTGTCACTCCATGAATAAATAATAGTACCTTGCACTTCCACAACTTGTGTCTTAGAACTGGAGAGTCAAACTCATCCTGCTGAGTGGTCCAAGAAATACTTTTTTGGTGTGGTGATTCCTGAATCTAAATTGTTTGCAATCTACTATTTTAAGCACCGGCAGAGATGGAGTGTTCACAGGCAACAGTTATGATAAATGTACTGCATAGTACCTCACGCCTTTGCAGATTGACTGTGTTTTCCTTATTTATATCCTCCGTTTGTATAACATAGTGAAATGCCTGGTCTAAGGCCTCCTCCAGGTCTGACAGCTTCACATCCTGTTCGCTGAGCTGCTCCAGCACATCAGATACTAGAGATCTGGTGTCATTGTACCTCTTGTGAAACTCTTCAACTTGCTGTAGCGCTGGGAGAAAAATCAGAGGCCACTGATTAATCCAAAGCTTGGATTTCTGGCAAAACTTACCTATGCAACAATTTCTGTTGCTGTTACTCAGGGGACAGTAAAACACATTTGTTAAAAGCTCACTTGAGAGATCATATACCTAGATTTTAATTTTCCCTCCTCTTTTGAAAAGGAAAGATGCCTCTCATTTTAGTATCTCATTTTAATCCCACTAATTCCCTCTCTCAAGTAGCTTTTCCTAAAAGAAACTAGGTTTGGCTTTCCATGCTCATTTATTTTTCATTGTCACAGCTAACCAGGCTATTCTGGAGAAGACAGTCCTTATTGTCCTGGGGCTTTGACTCATGTTCACCGAGCTGTGAGAATTAGGCTGCCGCTCTTTCCCATGCCGGCAGTTTTTCTCTCTCTGCTGGAGTTTACTCTCCCCATGGCAGAGCTGGCGGGGGGAAGGAAGACATTCACATGAGCAATTCCAGCCCTGGCACGAACCTTCCTAAACAGTTATCACTGAGGTGCTGCAGTGCACAGGCATACACAGAGACACACAGACACACAGGCAAACATATATTTTTCTGCCCATTGTGCCATGGGGGCAGCAAGTGCCAGCAGAGACTTGGGGCAGGCATTTGGAAGCAGCAGCATCTTCAGCACACCAGTCGGTGCTTGCCAAGCGCCTGCTGGTGCTCCCCAGGGGCTCAGCAATACATCCAGAGCTGTCTGGCCCGTGCCAGCTGCACATCAACATGTGGGTGAATGGAAAACAGACTTAAAACTCACACTCCTCCGCTGCGTTTTCCTCCTCATCTGCAAGTTGCCTCTGATTAGTGAAAGGCTTACGGCGTTTGATCTCCTTCAGCATCTCCTCAGCCACACTCAGCTTCTGGGCGATTTCTTCAGGGCTCAGCTCTTGTTGAATTGCATAGTATTTCATCTTGCTGCTGATTTCTGTGGGAAAAAGGAACAGATGGTCAATCTAGCATGGCTACAGAGAAGTAAATACTGTGGAGTACTTTTACTTTTGTGAATCTAGATCATGCTGATGGCAAAAGAAAGTTTTAATTATCTCTCAACTCTATAGTAGATAATTATTATGTTTAATCCATCTTAAATCTGTAAATATATTACACTTTCTGGCATATGTGGGGGTCTCATCAGAAGAGGATGAGATTAAGCAGGCATGGGTTGTATGTATTATTTGGCTTGGCAGTTCTTATAGACCGGGATCATAATTTTATTCTTTCTGTGGCTGGAGCTTTCATCCAGAATCATAGTTTTTAAGTGCTGCTGCAAAAATGTTATGTTTATTAAATAACAACAACAGCAAGGAGACTGAAGTAACCTTTTTTCCATCTGAAGAAGTTTGAGGCACCCTAAAGAGGTAACATATGGCTTCTGGCCCGATACTGCCTAGCTGGTTTGGAGATAGATACTATTTCAAGGTTTTGGTCTCAGTTCAAAAAACACTATTGGATCCCTGCAGCTGAAATTGAGTTTACCCATTCCCAGTGTAGGCATTACACAGTTTACCCACTTCTCACTCTCTGGCCTCGAATACCAGCTCCTCTTTTATGCCCTACGATGCGAGTAGCTTTGGCTTGCGTTCATCACTACTTTAGTGGATAACCAGAGCTGGCAAAGCCAGCACTATCCATCTGTAAGATTTTTATAAAAAATAGATGTGTAATTGTGGCACAACTGATTCTTTGGCAGAGTGTCTCTGTGTGCAGTTTCTGGCTGGCTCCTCAGCTCATTAGTGAAGCTTTAAAGTCTCAGTAACTGATCACCACCAGCAGCTCCATGGATTTCTTTTTCCTTCTCATGCTGGCACACGCATGTGCACGTGTGCGCACATACACCTTCCCTTCAGTAGAGAGTGGCTTGCCTTCTACAGGTGGCGATGCCCATGTAGAAGAATAGTTTTGAGCGTGGTGGAAATAATTTTCACCCACTTGTCTCCAGCTGCTTTCTGGGTGAACAAGCACTCTTTTTATTCACAGCTATGGGTGTGGCTTCTTCTATGATAGCTCAACCCGATTGTGATATTTGTGCGCCAAACTAGATACGTGTCTGCCTTCTGTGGTTCCTTTCCTGCCCAAAACCAATTAGTAGTATAAAACAACTATCCCCAGAGGTCAGCCAGTGACTGTTGGTGATATACAATGAAGCTCATGCTGACACTTTTGCTCAATAACTGTGGAAATAAGATGTGACGGATGGCCAGTCAGTCAAAGGTGATCTAGCATCACAGGTGTAAGAAGGTAGTACAAATGTAACATCCTATAAGTCTGGTCTCAGCCTGCCTCTTCTATGAGGATATGTTAACTTAACTATGTGTTGAAATAAAGTAATGGTTGAAGCACCCATGGAGTTAAGGATAAGCAAGGATAACAGTTGATATGTAACTGCTCTTCCTTACACAACTTGCCACAGAGCTTGCAGTAATTGCTCTAAGACAAAATTGCTCAGGTCTCTTAATAAAGTATTTCTATTAATTGAAAAAGGACCATTTAACCTCAACTGCCAGTCAGCCTTCCTATGCTGGTGCCATATACAGCTTTCTTACACTGTTGGCTTTGCCAAGGACTGGGAAAAATCAGTGTGCTCTGGCAGGATGGAGGCTGTCATGATGCAGGTGTACAGTGGACAGAGATGCTTCTGGGTGTGTTCACTTGGGGTTTTATTGCTTTCTGTAGGTACAGAAAAAGAGGCTGCAATTGGTTTAATCTCAGTTTTATATCAGCATGACCATGATATGTCATAGATATTCCAGATGAAGATGGTAATCTCTGACTAGGAAAACTTTTTTAAGAGCAATTATGTTTGGGAAGGGGTTCACTGTTGTCATTTATCCTTTGATATATAGTACAGTAACAATTCTTGAAGATGCAGGAGGTTTAACAGGCTCTAAATAAAAAAAGTCTTCATATGGAAAGGTGTAAAATACATGCATTTACAGTCAGAACAGAAGTTATGTTTTGAAATTTATGCTAGTTCTGGAGATGCTTTTATTGCTCTAGCATGTTGGCCAAAGATGAACTTAATAAGTTTTGTCTGCATCCCCTCACATCATATGGACAGATGAACAGGACACTGAGACAATAGGTTACAGTTTGTCCCAAAATTTTAACATAAAAAACTCTAGGTTTCATTCTTTTTCTAGTTTTGGGAGATCATCATCGTCATGTTTACCTCTCCTACTGTGAATCAGCATCACTATAACCATTTCTCACAGTCTGCACCAGCCACACGGTTTACAGTTCTGCCTTTCACTTTTACTAAAGGCCATGCTTTCTTTGTGGAAAAAAAAGGCAATGAAAATGCAGTTTTCTGATTCTTCTTCTGTATTTCAGAAAAAAAAGAAAAAGAGGACAACACCTGGTCTGTAATGCTCTGTAGATATGTCTGGACCCGAACTCAATTGGAAATTCTGGTCAGATTAAGCAATAAGCAGCTTGAGGAGAAAATCACCACCACCTCCCATGCTGAGTTTGGGGAAGCAGTAAGTTCACCGAATTATTTACTCTTCAGCTTCCTTTTCTTTTTAGAAGCATCTACATGAAGTTGTATGAACCAGCACAATCCCACTCAGCAACAGTTTGCTAAAAGGCAAAAACTGGATTTAAAGTAACACTCACCAGTGGGATCATCAGAGTTAGTCAGACCTAACTGACTGCCATGGGTTCAAAAGGGAAAGCATAATTTTTAAAAATCTGTCTAGCTATTCATATGGCCTCCATTACTTATCAGCAGGATGGGAAAAGTGCACTTGTGTGAATCTGCTGACAAGTAAGACATAGAGCACTCCCATCTCCCATCCTATGCTTGTGTTTGTGGCTTCATCCAGCCCCACTCTGATACTGACTTCTTTTTTTACCACAATTATATATAAATACCTTGAGCAGCTATTCAAACAAACAAAGGCTACGAGCTGATTAGCTTGAAGTATTTAATGTAAACCTATTTATTATTATTTTGCTCTGTCAAAGAGAGAAAAAAGAAAGAGAAGCTCTTGTTCTGGGTGTCAGACCAAGTCAGCCCGTGGTGTCAGCTGTCTTTTAAGAGAGACAGCTTTTCATCGTGGCCTTGCAGGCTGCAAAAGCCTTATGTGTGGGTTGCTTTGCAAGAGTGCCCAGGTGCTATGACATGTTTTTGCTGGAGGTTTCATTAATACATGCTTGACATTGAGCTGAACCAGAAAGAAATCTATTTACCTTGAATGTTATCCCTCATATTACTGAGCTGCTGCACAAGCTGAGTAGCACGGTTGTTGGTCGCCATGGTTTCCTTCTGTACCAGTAGGCCTTTGCTGGATGCTTCATTTCCCTATGAATAAACCGTGTGAGCGAGACATTAGATTTCTTTTCAGATCCATATGCATGTGTGAGGATGAGCAGTGTAAACATATATTTTGCTTTCTTCTGATGAGCACGTGAAAGTCCATATATCATATAAAGTGGTATTTACACAGGTGTTTGAAGTGAAGGGCTGTCTTGTCGGTATTTTCAGAATTGCGGAGTGAGAGGTTAAAATCTTTCCCATATTTATCCATCATTTGCTGCAATCAAGTTGCCATAAATTATGTACAGTTGTAAAACTGCCATCTGCTGTGGGTCCTAGGCATTCAGCAGGGCTGGCTCATTTTGCTGGGTATGGTGTTTCCTGAGTAAGCATATAGACTGAAAAATAAGGTGTCAAGCTCACAACCATTTTTAGATCAGTGCTTCCCTCAAGTGAGGTCCCCAGCTCTCCAACTTGTTAAAATTAAGAAAAAGCATGAGGATTCAAAATACTCTGAAGAGCATAGCCACACTCCTATACTATATTACTTTGGAGGCTGTACACTGCATTGTGTTCCCTTACATGTAAGGGAAACGAAGAGTTACCATGTCATAGTTATCATCTTTCCTGGAGGGTCACTGACTTTGGGAGTCCTTAGATTTAATTTTCACTGGTATTTCCCAGGAAGGAGAAAAAAATATAACTGCTGTGCCATTGACGTTTCCTGGACCCTGCGTGTGTGTGTGTGTATGCACGTGTAAGTCCGTACCACATGCTTGCCAGTGGTAAGGCGTTTGATTCACAGTCCCTGTTGGGGCTGCATCAGCAAAAATTCCCACTGTAAAATTAGTTTCTGGGTTTGGGGTGGCCTGACACCTCATAAGCCAGAAGATACTTGGCTGTTGGTGTGCTCACTTCATACTCACTTAATCCTGCAAGAACCGCCGAGGACTCTGCGTCCGTCCCCCAGCCCTGCGTGGCTAAGCTGTGCTGTGGCTGCGGGTTCGGTGCTGGCAGCAGCTGTGACCCACGGACGTGGTTTCACTCGGGGTTTGTGGAGGCACCGGGTGGCACTTGAAGGCAGGGCCAGGGTGGCCCGCGCCGCAGCAGCGGATGGGCACCTGCGCCGCAGCAGTGGATGGGCACCCGCGCAAAACAAGTGTGAAGGTTTGTAGAAAGGTTTTAGTTTTATTCCTATTTACTTGGGTTTTTAGTCTTTGAAGGGCAAGCACTATGTTTTTTATTTGTATTCCTTTATTGCTATCAGGGTTTCTTGTGGATGCTCTGTTGCTCAGCATCGCCACTTCATGCTTATTTTAAGCAACTTGTTACTGTTTTTACACCCACTTGCCTTTACATAATACTCTTCCCTCATCAGATTTTTCCTTAACTATTGAACGCATGGGGAATTGCTGAGACAGGTTTACTGATTGCCATGAGATTGATGGGAAACACAGCAGCATGAGTGAGGGCTGCTCTTAGGGACCCTCAAATTCCCGCCGATGTACAGAGGCTTATCCTGAAATTTGCTAAGAGGCCAGGAAGGAAAGGCACTCGGCTCCCCAAAGTCTCTGCCAAACATTCAGGATCGAGCTACTTGCTGTTTTACTCTAAGCTCATCCCAAGCAGGCTCAGGGAGTTGCAGGTCACATTTAATTTTCTCATTTAGCAGGAGGATTTGTCTACAGTGGGTGCATTCATCCTGCCTTTGGGGTTTAGATCAGAATCTGCAGCAACCCCTCAGACACGGGGATGTGCACATGAAATGCTCTGAACAGAAGATGCAGCACATCTCTGCAAAACCCACTCAAGGCCCTAGCACCTGTTTTCCATAAAAAGTGCCTTGAAAGAGCAATAAGTTCAATATATTCAGAGTTATTACTGTGGTCTTTCTTCCACTGTGAGAGTCTGGGGCCATTATTTCCCTGCCTTTACAAGCGATCACAAGTATTCATGTGGAACAAGCATTAGAAATAACCGGGGAGAAAAGACCAGAGGAAATGCTGAATTTATTTGTTCAGGGACAGTCAAACTGAGGAATGAGCTAAGAAATCCCCATGTAGTACTGAAGATGACAAAAACATTATTATCAAAATTCACTAAATATTCCTAGAAAACCTAATGCCTTAATCATCCTGCCTACAATCTACATAGAGGGACACTGAGGCATGTAAGCGCTGCGAGATTTTCACAGGTACAGGTGGGGGTGTGTGTGTGCTGATTTAATCAGACCTCTCTTTTGAACACAGGCATAGTCTGTGTAATTCTGCAGTGCCCTTTCTGCTAAGTAAGCGCTGATTAAAAACACCCAAACCCAAATTTTCTCTTCCACCTCTCTATACAGCCCTTTCTCCTCTTCCTTTGTGTTTTTTCTCCTGCTTGCTCCTATACTTGAGTTTTAGTCTAAGGTATAATTTTAATCTGCCTTCTGAAGGAACTGGTAAATGAATATAAGGTCTGACATTTTGCAATAAGCATGAAATATACTCTAGTCATACTATAGCTGTGATTATCTCTGGGAACAAAATAAAGTGATGTATCTCACTAATATATATGTATCTTAGGAACAGAAAGATGTTTAATAATATCTCTTTAAAATAGAGGAGAAGCAATTTTGAACCCTATTTCTTCTCTGAGCATATATCATATCAGTATTCTTCTAAGGTGCAATGAAAGTGTTATGTGAGCTGAGAGCAGATAACCTTAGTTTTATAGCCTGGCAGTTGAATGTGGATACAACATTTATGATTACAATTGTGTTAAAACATATCTTGAGTGCTGATCAGGCTCCCATCTCAGTGGGTACATGAAAAACCTTTTAAACTGGCAGTTTGTAGCATGTTTTGAAGTGTCTAGTCGGGGCTAATTTCATTTTATGAGAGCATGCATGTAAAATAGGTATAGTACAAATACTCCCAAAGTCAATTTGAATTAGTTTAGTGTTGGTTACTTTGCTTAATTAAAAATCAAAATGTGAAGTAGAAAGGCAGTTTGTCTATCTCAGATCAAACATATGTAGGGGGGTAGGTGGAAACTCAGATCCTGAGGGAAGGCTTCTTGCGATTGGTGGCAAACCTCCGACCACATTCAACAGACTTTGGCCCTACATCCTTCAAGTCAAGAAGACTTGATAGGTCATTTACGCTTTTAATTCAGAGCAAAAGTAACGTAGAAAGTCTAGAAATAGATAATAGAAATAGAAAGTTCTCCCAACTGTCTTTCAGGGCACTCCCACTCTTCTTTGGTGAACGTAGAAGTTCAGACTAGATGTTAGGAAATGTTTCTTTACCAAGAGGGTGATCAAACACTGGAACGGGCTTCCTAGAGAGGTGGTTGATGCCCCATGTCTGTCAGTGTTTAGGAGGCATTTGGACAATGCCCTTAGTAACATGCTCTAACTTTTGGTCAGCCCTGAAGTGGTCAGGCAGTTGGACTAGATGATCATTTTAGGTCCCTTCCAACTGGAACTACTCTATACTAACCTCTTATGCCAGCATGTGAATATGACAAACCACAAACCCTCAGAGCTCTAGCAAGGGGCTATAAACAAACCTGTTCATCAAGTGTTGCTGCCTCTCTCACGAGATCATTCATTTCGTCTGCAGTATCATCGACCTGGATGGTCCAGAGCACAGCATGATTCTTTTTTTTGGACATTGCCTCCTGCGTGTGTGGGAAAAAAGTCAGAGCATCTGAAAACAAATTATTTCTTTAGTGAGGGCAGGGGTTAAAATCTACAGGAATGGAATGGAAATGCATAGATTAGAATTACATTAAAAAATAAAGTGTCATCAATATTTGTACCTGGAGATGGGTGGCAGTGAGGTTCAGGTCATTCAAGCGCTTTTGAGCTGCAACACCTGTAGAAATGCTCAGTAAAGTTGACTTGCTTTCATCGATAGCCAGAACTGCTAATCGGATGTCATCTGTCAAATCCCAAATACATTTATCGCAGCCTGATAAGAAAATAAGAGTGTCATTTTTCTTTAATGTTTGTGTCAGTGAACAGCAAATATCTTAAATTCAATTTATAGTGCTCTTTCCCCATGGCGTTCCCTCTCTTTGTCATTGATGGATGCTGATGGATACCCATTTTTCTTTCACTTTCATCCGCCCACTTCCAAGGTCCCACAGTACAGTCATGATGCTTCCAGCTGAGCAGCACCAGATGGGACTACTCCGAGAGGCTGCTGCAGCGGCACCGTAATCAGTAGGGAGAGAGAGAGAAGGCATTTCCTGGCTATTCCCTAGAGGCTCTGCATGTTTGTGGCCCAAAGAACAACAGATGGGGGTCAAAAAAACAACTTCATTCTGTCAGAACCCAAAACTCTGTATTTAAAATTTGGTGGTATGAGAAGTAAGGATGTCCAGCAGATGGGCTCTTGGCTGCCTATTTGATTAGAAAGGCAACTTCTAAAAACACAGTTATAACATGTTTGGAATATGCTTGTGCAGAACTATATCCTGTCACTGCTGAATGCTTGCAATACCACCTTGTTTTTAGTGACATTGGTGCCACCACTAAATGCAAGAGACTTAGGTGAACATGAAACACAGATTCCTACAGAAACTTTTGCTTGGTATTGTATAGTCTGTATTCTTGACAGCAGCAGCTCCCAAATGTTTTCCTTCTGGTTGCGCTTCCAGGCACACAACCCCTCTTCTTGGGAGTTAGTTTAGGAACCCATGTGTGCTACATGGGCAGCATTATACTACAGACATAATCATACTAACATTTAAAAAAATATCAGTGGTTACCAGTAGTAACCACTTCTGGAAACTCCCCAGGCTTCCTATAGTTGGAATAGGGGAGGTGATAGTGGAAAAGCAACTGCCTGATGGATAATGTAAAATTGTCAACAGCAACAATTTATGTTAGGTGTACAACTAGAAAACCAGAAATGATATGCAAGACAGCACAGATAAAGTTGTGATGGCAATTTTTAGGGCCAGAATATTATTTTGCAGGCACTGTATCTCAAAGTCTAGAGAAGTGGCTTTGGTGATATTCCCTACTGCTCCGCAGTTAGTACCTAAACATTCAGTCTGTATCACAGAGTTGGACGTATGCATGTACTCAGTCAAGCAAGTGAGAACATGTTTAAATACTGTCAGTGGGGCATCATGCATATTCACATGTTTAAATGCCCTGTGGGACCAAGGTCAAAGTGGAGAGAGGCCCACTGGAGAACCGAGCTCTTAAGTTAGTATTCATAAACATCTAAATACAAGAGTGATATTAATTTTTGGTATTCTCATGATAATCTTACTGATGGTTGGGCAGTCTGTGCCAGTAGAAACTTCAGGACTGTCAGCGAGGCATTCTCCAGTCTGGCTGTCACACATTCTCCCTCCACAGTTACATTCTGGGGGAAAAAGAAAGGATTTTTGAAAGAAGAATCTTCAAAATGTACAACCCACCTTTCCCCTCCCAAGACTAGTGAAATGATTCTATGTAGGATTGTGCATGGATAGTCAAACCAAAATCAACAGCTTCTTGGACTGATTTTTCCTTCAGTATGTAGAAAGTGTTCTTTGCACTGTGGTCGAATTGGACCAGATAAAATATGAGACAGGAAACAGAACCGGCAAGCCTGTGCTGAAGCGCCTTGTTCAAAGCTTCCCAGCTGGTCACAAGCAGAGGCAGTGAGGCCAGAGTTGCCCAGCTGGGCCATTGTGCGTCACTGTCTAGAGAGGGAGACGTTTAGGAGATAGGCTAAGGAAAGCAGTACAACTAAAGTTAATTATTAGTTACAAATCTCTCCACAGACTTGTGGAATTTATCAATGCTGTGTCAGGCTGCCGCTAAATAAGCTTTCCAGCTATCAGGGATTGATAGTGGACTCCAATTCCATCATCAGCTTGAGCATATCAAAAAGTAAATGTCTCCTACCACTTACAATGAAGAATAAATGAGGTTTTACATTTTTTTAAACTTGAGTAAGCTATATTTACTGACTGCACAAGTGGCTTTTTAAAAAGTATAATTTTTAATCTAAAGTGTCTCTTTCAAGATTTAATCAGCCTTTTAAAAGATATTATTTTAAAGATAAAAATATTCTTGGATCACTTTGATAGAATAACAAAAACTCAAGCAGAACATAACAGCAGTGACTTTTCTGGAACTCGTTTTGCTCTTGTGATTCATGGTTTCAGCAGAATCTCATATAACAAAATTGTTTACTGCCATTTTATTGCAGCCTATTCATTGTTCTCTATGAATTACCCTTGTATTTACATTCCACATTGCACGTTTGAGGAATTATCAGAGAAAATGTGTAATACAGCTTCGAAGTCAACATGATGCACTAACATTAGAATAATTCTGTGTAACTGAACCAGCATTAGTGGAACTACTCAGTTTTTGTACCATTGTGAGAACAGAATTTGGTCATGAATTTTGTGGGGCAATCAATATTCTGACCTCACCACAATTTGTGTGAACTGGGTGCCTCCCAGCTCCTGGATCCACAATTTTTTTTATTTGTTATTTCTTTTGTTAAGAAGTGAAAGAAAAGTCTTAGTTGAAAGCAGAGATTTCTCTTTACCTATATCACAGGATCTAGGCTAACCGCAAAACAGGTGGCAAGATTTCAGTTACAAGGTTAAAATTTGGATGAGATTGGTGCTCAAGAAAATCAAATGGTGTCTTCTTATTTAAATGGATAACTCTCAATTTGCTACACAACTGCTTATAGTAAATTAATTTCAAAAGCAGTCCTGAGAATTTTCAGGATTGAAAAGGACAAAGGACACTCGATTAAAAAATTTATTGAAAAGAAGCTGAAAACTACTATCTACAGCTACACAGATTTTGTCTTTTGCTCGAAAGAAAAAAGGGTGATCCTATTTGGATAGAGCTGTTTGCTCATTTAGTGTTCTTGCATTTTTTTATTCTATATAGCCTTTGAGGTGCTCTGTGGAAACTATGTACGCAGACTCTCTTGTTTCTTACACTAGTTTCTTTTCTGTATTTTTGTATTTTAAAGAAAGTATTTGTTTTATTTCAGAATCTATATTTTTCTAAATAAGAGTTCCAAATCACTCCAAAATGCCAAACAAAGTATAAGCTTGCCTTGTAAACTACCTGGATAGTTTGGATATCATGGATGTATTGATTGGTGCAGGCAATCTACACAGTACTGTCAAGTACAGCACATGGTGTTTAGCAGAAATGAAGATGAAATGAGAAGTGTGTAATTCTCTGAAACATAATACTTCAAGATCAGGATCTGCTAGAATCAACTACAAGATTAAATTCACTCCTAAGCAGAGAAATGCTGTATCTCTCATAACATACTCAAGTGCCAAGGCACTTTTTATTTTTAGCAAAGATCAAACACTACAAGAGAATCTGCTAATGAAGAGAATTACCAAGCTGATTTATAGTCTGCATGAAAAACCTGTATAGAGAAGTCCTGTGCACCATGAAATGCCACTTAAACTGTATCTCAGAAGCATAAATAATACCAAGGCATTCTGCCTCTAATTCCTGCAACTCTTTAAGGGTGCAAACCAAAACTATACTGAGGTGATGAAAGTGTGACTTAATTTCAGTTAGAAACTCCGTGTTCAGAGATGCCTTCCAAAATTATGTCTTGCATAATCTACTTAGACACTTGAAATGCCCTGTAATCCTCAGACTTCTGGCAAAGTTACTCTTAGCTGTTTAAAGCTCTGCCTTTGCACATGACCAGGGCACGATTGCTGCGGTTTGCTGACTTAAAGTGCTGGGTGAGTTTTTCCTGCCTCACGGCATTCAGGACCCACAAACTAGATCCTGTCCTTCTTTATGGAAGAACTGCAGTTAAGTCATCTCTGGTGAACTGAATTAGGCAGTGAAGGGCATAAACAAGATTTGCTTTTGCAACCTCAAAGTCACAGAGATGTTGAATTTCAGGCACGTCTTGGGTGCCCAAATCCAGGCAGGACGTGAGTTTTGGGGCACGCTGTTCCCTACAGCCGCTGTCTTTTTGACTGATTTGGATACCTGGGATTGGCTTTTGGGATTACTGTGTGAGGGCACAATCTCTCTCCATTCAACGTAAATGGAATTTAAGCACGTGACTTAGTGATGTGAATTATGTCCTGGAGATGGACACTCAACTTCTAGCTGTCACCAGAACATAAAATCAGAAGGGACCCACTAGTGGCATCATATGTGGTCCCCTACAAATGAAGACAGCAGTTCAAAGGGCACAGAGCATCCTCACAACCTCCATCCTGCAAGTCTCAAAACACACCTTAGCACTTTATAGTAAGCTAGTAAAAAGCGAAGCCCAAGTGTACAGTGAGTTGCAAGAAGGACGTAAGTTGATCAAGACATTGCTAAGGCCCCGAGGCCTGTAGCCCTGTACCTGGAGACCCAGGAGCACTTAAAAGGTCCGGGTTGGGTGCGTGGTTTGGCTGTGTCTTACCTTCAAGTCAGCTAAGAGCTAGGAGTGATCTGTCTACCCCATTTGTGTTCTGGTCCTTGAGGGAGGGACCCTGGCAAAGGGGTTGGGAGGGACCTCTAAGGTCCTTGCTCTGAGCACCTCCATTTTGCCTTTAGCTGTGTTTATTCTTTGGTGCTTTGAAAGAGGATGTACTCTTTCCTCCCAGAGCCAAAGCAAGGACAAAGGGCATGAGCCCAAAGTCTTACTTGGATCTAACTCCATGTAAATTAGGAGAATAATTATATTAGAGGATGCAGACCTCTGTGACCCCTCTGTGTAGGTAAGTTTTGGTAAGATCCTCTAGGTAGCACTTTACCAGACCCTGGAAGTACAGTCATCTCTGGAGTAGAAATACACTAATGAGCAAGATTACACAGACACGTGGGAAATGCAGAACACATTATCAGTATGAAAACTAGCAGAAAATGAGCAGGGATTGGGTCAGGACAGGAAGGACGATGCTGTTCCCGTAAAAACTGCTTTCAAGTCTTTAAGTGCCATCAGTCTGAGTGGTCATGCTGGGCAGCCTGTGGTGTGAAGAAACACAAAGGTGAAGTCTCTGCCCAAGGAAAGCTTAGAGACCTGTATTTAAAACAAGATGCAGGACACAACAGTGCCTACATTCATCCTGCACAGGCGTTTGAGATGTTGGGGTCTGGGGTTTGAGACTTCCTCGTGGGCGATGGAAAGAGGGCCTGGGATGATTCAGTCAAACAGGCATCCAAATTATCCTGCTGGGTAGGCAGCCAGGAGCACCCCCTGCCTCCCCGGGCCACAGGTGTCTGGTGACTGATTCAGGCATCTCTGGGAGGTCATTGATAGACCATGCTGTGCTGCGTTTTGCTCTACTCTACTAAACTATAGACAATACCTGTACAGTTTTTAGCGAATCTGGCATCCCCGTAGTAACCCGGAGCGCATCGTTCGCACTTGAACCCGGTGGTGTTGCGCAGGCAGTTGCGGCACTGGCCGGTCACTTCATCACAGTCTTCAAAAATCAGGTTTGGGTCTGAGTTGCCACTGCAGTCACATTTTTTACAAGTGCTTCCAATTAGCAAAGGGTTCCCATAGTAACCGGGGGCACACCTGAAAGGAAGAGCAAGCCCAGCGATGACGAGCAACGACATTCCCATCTGCGGTACCATTTTTTCTCTGACCTTATTTATGTCACCATGATTTGATGATAGTCTGCAGCTACTAAAGGACAGAAGGCAAATTAGGAGCTGTATTCCTGCAGAGGCTGTTTTGTGCTCTAATCTCAATCTGTACAGTTATATATTTTTCCCTTCTTGCACACTCCTGGTATCTCAATCACACCAGTCTGCATTATTTTTTTGTATATGTCTTTAGCAGTAAAATGATTTGTTCCCCATTGTTTTAAAATCTATGACAGAATGACCTTGGCAGAGAGGCAGCTCTAGTGTTTATTTTGGTCCCTTTCAGCTTTGGATCTCACCAACTTTATTGTGTTATATAGGAAACTGGGTTAAGAGACTGCATTTTATGATGCTGAAACTCAGAGGAAGTTCAGACCTTATTTTCATTATAATGCATATAACAAAGTACTGACCAGAAAAGGTTTATACAAATACTTCTATGGTGAGGCACTGGGATGGTTTCTGGTTTTTGCAAAACAAAACAGGCACTGAACCAGCCTTCATTTTCCAAATTTGTTCGATGTTAACCTGCTGCTGAGGGCAAAAGGCTGAGAGCAGCCACCAGCCCAGGAGGGGAGGGTTCCTCTGTTGGTTTGCAGAGGGTGAGCGGGAGGTGGGTAACAAGCACCCAGGGGAGGCCTGAAGTGGGTCCAAATTTCATGTCGTGTCACGTTTGGGAAGCATTTCTGTGGAAAACTTGCTATATCTTAAAATGGAAGAGATGTTGAAACTGTAGTGGTTTTTGAAAGTCTAGACAAACCAGCGATACCTAATGTTCCTGTGTGACCAGTGACTCTAAGCTAAGACAAGAGGTAACAGATTTGGTGTCATCATTTGGAAAGACAGGAGAGGGTTTCAGTTAAAGGAGTTTCGGCTAGTAGCAGGGAGTGTGCTTAATCCTACAAGCTTGAGGAACCTTTGCAAAACAACCAGCGAGGTGAACCGAGACAGCACTGGAGTGGGCGTGGAGCAGCTCGCAGGAGCAAATCCTCGAGCAAGGGCATGGCTGGAGGAGCTGGCGGCTGGAGCAGCGCAGAGCAGCTGCTTATGGACCGGAGGGGCCGGCTGGCAGGACGGGGGCAGCCCACGCCGTTCACAGTGTCACTGCGGGGTGGCAGGAGGGTCCATGACCCAGCAGCCTGGGGCACAGCCATCAGGGACTTGTAGCCCCAATCTGGGAATGAAGAATTACTGCACGGAGGGAGATAACTAGCTGGTGTAGCAATTGCTGACTAAAGAAGTCAGAGGACAGAATAGTTGTTGCAGTGATTTAGGTAAAGAGTAGTTATTGTATTTCATCCTGTTGTCCTTGTCTTTTCTCCCATCCATAAAATCCTGTTTTAAGATGCTGTTTGTTCTGCTGTTTGTGGATGGGGAGGGTGAGCTCTCAGGCAGTTTAGTTTAATTTTCCCAGGTTTCTGGCTGGGGACCTGAGCTGAGGTCTGTTGTCTCCTAAAATCTGAACATAGTCAAATCCAAGTTCTGCTATGTCTGAACGATGAAAATGCAGGAGATCTGATAAGACCTTCCAGTTTTGATCTGTTCCTACATTTGCTGATTTTTTTTTTTTTTTAAATAAAGAAAGTAATTTCCTCAGCGCTGCTTTGTTCGTGTTCCAGTCCTGAACCCCCACAGTAAAAACACATAAAATTTTAAGCATCTTAATATAAACCACTTGGCTGCCTCAAATACTGCTTTTGCCAATGGCAAAGACTCTGTTTGTCTCTTTGCAGCACTGCCAGAATCTTTGGTGCAGATCTTATCACTTGGTGACCCAGATGTAAAGAATAAACGTGTGACCTGGAGTTCCATGCACCCCTCGAAGAACTGTGAATGCGGCAGGGAGCATAATGAGTGTGATTTAGCTGACTTTGGTGGAGTCACTCCCCATTCCCACAGGAGCTAGAGTAGGCAGTGATGGGTAATGCTACTATTTAGTCATGCCAAAAGTCTTGCTATAGTTTTCTAATATTTCAGCCAATCTGAGATTGTAGTATTTTCTCATATTTCAAAATTTCAGTATGTTTATGAAGTTTGAACCAGAAAAAAACCCCCTCTTGGTTTAAAAAAAAAATTTTTTTCCTTTATTCTGAACTCTCAAAATCTTGCAGAGTTTCTTTTTAGTTTTCTGTAGTTAGGTATTTTCTGATTGTCTGTCTGATGTGGCTACCAAGTCACAGAAGCCACTGAACAGTGCGGGGTTGAGACCAGCATTTTGCTTTCTGCTGTCCAGCTCTGGCTTTCAGCCAGCATCTACCGAAGACTGCGTACTATTCCCATAAGGCTCTCAATGGCTGTCCTCTCATCAGGGCAAGGTGATTTTTTTTTTTCTTTTCTGAAATACACCATTCAGTTCACTTGCCAGAAATGTAGAGGACAGTTCCTTACATCCTCACAGATATATTTTGTAAGTGCTGCTTTTTATGACCATCTGACTCACTTTTATTAGCTGTATCTCCTCACCTGGAGTAGCTGTCTAAAACAAATAGAAACTTTTAGAGCTGAAAATAAATGTGTCACCTTCACTTTCCCCTTCCCTTTGCCACTCAGTGCATCTCACAGGGCTGGAGTGCGCTTGGCCTCTTTTGAATTGCTGGTAGCACGTGAGAAGAGCAGAGGCCACTGGATGGAAACATATTGCTCCATCTCTGCACTTCACAGTCTGAAAAAGTAGAAGCCTGCAGTACGTATCTTTTCCTCCGTTGTATTAATAAATGGCTCTTTGTTGCTAGCAAAGAGTATTTCCTCTCCCATAATAAAGCTGCTAAGTTATCCTTGTTTCATTTTACAGCCATGTTTGCTTCCTGTAATTATTGGTGAGTAAGAAATTAACTTCCTTTTCCCTGGCAATGCCAAAAGAACTTTTTCCTCTATTCACTTTGGACACTAAAGTATCATTTCTTCCGTTATCTTTTTTAACATTTGGGCATTAACAAAACCTGGATTTCATGTGCTACCACCTTAATGCCTTATTGCTGGAGTCCAGGAGCAAAATGGTTCATTCCTAAATTTCAAATTTCAAATTGGGAAGCTGTTTTTCCCAGTTCCTAGCAAAGGCCTCTGTGATTTCGTAACACCATTTGCTGGCAAACATAGACTGGATAGGTTTGTGCCAAGCCCCTGGAGCAGCACAAGCAAGCCTCCTACACGAATGCCAGAGGAAAGGGAGCAGATTGCCTCCCGGTGTGCTGCTGCGGAGATCCCACGCGCTGCCTGTGGAGGGGCGTCCTGCAGCTCGCTGCCCTGCGGCGCCTGTCACCGACTGCTGCGGAGAGCTGGGAGGGAGGGTGGTGAGCAGGAGGTAGCCTTCCTCTCCCTGGGGACACGAGCTGCTATTTGGGCTGCAGGGAAGGGCAGGCGCAATGCCGTCTCTCGTCCAGGATCCCCCAGTCCTCCTGCCAGCATGTTGACGGCACGATAGCTGCCAGTGGGAGCAGGGAATGGTGGCAGTGCCCAGCAGCAGCGTATGTGAGGCAGGGGCTTGCTCTTTAGCAAGTGGACAGGGACGAGCAATGCATTTCTCATTAGTCTTCGAAACGCTTTTCATCCTTTCTGACACAGATGGGAGTAGGACCAGGAGCCTACCAGAAGGAAAGTCCCGTTTCCCACTGCTTGCCACTTACCCCAGCAGTTAGTCAAGGACTTAACACGGTGACTGGGACAAGCTGATTTCTTTCTGTGGCTTTTTCTAACCCATCTGTGCATCTTTGCCCTCCCTGAGACAGATGCATTATGTCAGGCTGGGTAGTGGCTGTTAGAAAACAAAGCTGATGCTATTTTCTGCTGTTACTATGCATCTGCTACTCATTTCATAGGATTTGATTTGCTTGTAGCCTAGGTTGACATTTTAATAACCATTAAGAAACCTCACTGACCTTCTAATTGTCTGCATTATCCTTTGTGTATATATCTGACATTTTGGAAGAACAAAAGAATACAGCCATAGGCCTGGAAACAAGGGTGGGGTTTTTTATTTTTGTGCCATCTGTCTAAAGGGCTTTCACTATTGCTGCCACCATGTTAGTGACGCGGAGGTAATACGCTGATGTTTTTGCATCATCTGTGAGGGCAAAAGCCTTCACTCTTTTTTTCATCTTACGTTTTTCATATTGATTTCTCTTTGCACCTTAAGCATCCCCTTTCTCCCTTCTCTGATAGTTATGTCAAGTATCATTTGAATTCAAGGCTTGCACATTAATGACAGTGGACTGAAGTTTAAATACTTCAGGGGCTTTAAGGAAAAACAAAATGAGGTGTTCAGGAAGCCGGTGTCTGAGCCATCCTATACCCCTCAGTCTTTGTGTAAGAGCTGTTCTAATTTATTAGCTGCTCAAGGAGAATTTCTGAATTATAATCAGGCCTCTGACATTCACTGAAACATCATCCATGTTTATTGATAGTGAGTAAGATGGCCCTTTATGTCATAGGAGAGTAAGTTATATTTCTGCTGTATAGCTCCATTTATTTGTGTACTTTGTTATTTAGAAGATATTTACTGGAAATTGTTTATGGGCATAAGGGAAAGTTAAAAAGCAGCACTGGCCTACGGTTGTTTGCTTGACTTTATTGAATTATGTCTGTGAAGTACATTTAAAATTTAACTAAAAAAGCTGCATCTGCTCATTAAGAATTTGACTAGATAATGCATTTTCTCCTTTGCTTTTGAAAAATTTATTTGGTGGAAACCTGCTATATGTTTTAGAGTGGTGAATTGCAAGAGGCATCTATGTGGTGGTTGTTTTTCACTTCAGCTGCTGTTTCTGATTTGTGTTTTGTATTTTGATTTTTAAATTGTTTTCCTTTTAGGAAGATCACCACATGAAGGTACACAAAGTGCAAGAACTCGATCAAAATACATCAGATGTAAATGTCTGTTTTACCCTCACAGGGTAAGACGTGTCTTACCCACAGCAAGTTCTTACGGTTTTTAGTAGGAACTGAATGAGATCCTTTAACAGACGTGATCCAACCTGGTGAAAACACATGCACAAGATTTCTCCCCAGTGTGGGAAGATTCCCTTGAAGACTTCTGGACTGCAGTATTGCTGACCAGTAAGTCATCCCATTAGTTTCTTACCTTTCACAGTTGGGTCCTGCATAGTTTTCCTTACAGACACAGCGCACACTTCCACTTTTTCTGTAACAGGAGACTGCAAAGCTGGAATTTCATTAAAATGAATAGTTAGAATAGCAGGCAATGGCAAACACTTGGGAGTATTTCTTAACTAGATTATGGACATTTGCTGTCAGTGCGAGGTCTGGCTCTTGGTTACTCATTGCTGAATAGCTATTCTTAAGCTCTGTGTGTTATTCACATTATACCCCTTGTTTAGTCTTTTTAATTAGTGTAGAAAGCACTAATTAGTGTCTAGCACTATGGACCTATATAAATGCAGATATATATAAGTTCCTGTCTTGCAGTGTAGATCAGACAAACCTGCAGGTTTTGATACACACATTTTAGATAAAGGACTTAGGATAAATGTGTATGTCAGGCGAACCTAATTGCTTCCTGTCTCTTGTTCTAAGGGGTGAAATATTGCTTATGAAAGACACCGCAGTAAGCACTTCAGGAATGTAGTGTCTGGAATGGGTGCAGCAGTTTCGTATGCAAATCCTACAGTTTTCCTCAGATCCAGTCTGGAAGTACTGAATGGTGAAAACTAAACTCAGTGATGCTATCCTCATTTACAGTAACCGAGGCTGCTCTACCATCTTTCTGAGTAAGATGGAAAGAGTCTGGGGCCTCTTTTGAGACTAACATGCCACGTAGCGATACTGATTACAGTAATGGCTTGGGCTGTAATTCTCACTGCCATGATTCTAAATCATGGATTCCTTTGCTTTCTTACGTTTTCAGGATTTAACAAATGTATAACTAAATATGAGACCTAAGGAACAGCAGCAACCAGATGTGGAAAGTACAAATTGTATACACTTCAAACACAGTGATGGACATGGCTTAAATACATTTGCAGGAAAAAGACATACAGTCCTAAAGATGTTTCCAGTTAGTTTGCAATACGTGTGAATAAATGCCTGCCAGCACAGGAGTGCGACCAGAGTAGTGAGTGGCAGCAGTTGCCAGCTGCAAGCCCATGGTTGCTAAAATGCAGGTCCTGAGTCATACAGTGCTGGGCAGCTGTGGCCAGGTTGCATCCCTTTTGCACAGAAGGACAAAAGACTTGGAGCAATGGCAAAGAGCATGATCCATGCACTGCTTGTTCCAGGAATGAGCAGCATTGAAAGGTGACAAGAATTCCTGCATAATTTCAGTTCCCACCAGCATTTCTCAGCTGGTGGGACAACCAGGGTCAAATAAATCTGTGTCTGGATCTGTGCTGTCTCAAAACATTTCATATAACCAGAGAGAACATAAAATGAGATTCTTCTCACAGAATTCACAAATTAACTTCAGTAAAGCTTTTTTGAGAACGTATCGAGAAAATCATAACAGTTTGGCAGCCTTCCTCTTCTTTTACAGAGGCTAATTCCTTCATGTAGTTGAAAAAACACATTGTGGATTTAAGTTATGAAATAAGGCTGAAGCCTTCCCAAGGTTTTATATTTTTTGTGATCTTTTGGAGGAAAAAAGTTTGTAAAATTCCCTCAGGTTTGAAAAGAAGTAACATCTGCTGTGAAGCAAACTTCCTCCTCCATTTTTTTTATTCCAAAGAGATGACATTGCACTTCATGTGTAATGTCCAAAAGTTATTCCAAAAGTTCTCAGGATAGCAGATATGAAGATAGTCTGGCCAGAAAATCTAGAGACGCACAGATGAATCCCAAGAAAAAAAAATGTATCTATCTGATGAGTCTGTCAGTTTACAGATTTGGGCACTTCGTCTAAGTATTATGAATTCGCTGGCTATTTTCAAAGTAAAACAGAGAACAAAACAACATCCTTTGGCATGGATGCCATTTAATACTTCTCTGCTTTCTGGTAGTTACTGTTTTGCCTTAATATGAATGGAGTAGGATTAATGGGGGAAAAATAAAAAAAAAAAAAAGAAAGAATGGTTGTTCTTTGAATTTAGTTATGCAAGGCTGAATGTTGCTCAATCATTATTTGCCTGTTCCAGCCCCAGCTGAAGGCTATTGCTGTGGTCAGATCTCTCTCATGCAAGAAGCTGAACAGGCAATTTCTGCATGTTATTTAAATAGTGGTATGAGGCAAATTGGGATTGGATATTCGTTTAACTATTGCCTTCAGGGCTCTTCCAATTGGGGAAAACCCTGAAAAACTGAAGTGGATTTTTACTGAGGTAGTTTTAAAGGGGTGACATACCATAGAACATAGAATATCCTGAGGTGGAAGGGACCCATGAGGATCATCAAATCTAAGTCCTATATTGCTGCTAATGTTGAAGCCTCTGCATTCAGGCTCCTTGCAACTTTTGTTCTTTCTTCCCAGTCCCATGCTGCTGTCGTTTTGGGTTCAGGGCTTCTTTATCTCTAGTGGTCTGGAATTGAAGAGGCGTATGTCCCTAGCAGAAGGGCTAAAGAGCGTGTTGAAGCAGGGAACGCTCCTTGGCCTCTGCGCCCATCTCCCATAGCACTGGCAGAGACAGCCTGTAGCTCAGGTCCCTGCTGGTCCCACTGCACTAAGCCTTGCTGGGCTGGTGGGCCGGCTGGCTCCCTGCGGTCGGGGGGCACTGCTGCAGAGCCGGTGGGCTGTAGGACTCGATGAATGCAGACCCGGCCACGCTCTGTCAAATCGCACCGTAGGGAGGACAGCCTAGGCGTTTGCTTGACTGGTAGAGACTGGGTCTCATCATGCGGTAGTGCCTCCGGCATGTGCAGCCCAGGTTGTGGTTGAGAGAGCTGCTCCTTACACCAAAGTGGCTGCTCCGTGCCCAACAGGTTAAAAAAAAAATCACTTTCCTTTGCTAAGGAAAAAGCACTGCTTCCGACTGTTGTATTTCTAATATTTCTGTCATTACAGCCACTACTGAAACTGGAGGAAATGGTCTGCTTTGTCTGTGAGCTTGCTCACTCCTAAGCCTTTTTAAATGTGAGCAAAGCCAGGTTCTTCCTGTCTCTAGAGGATTTTCTCTCTAAAGCAGGCAAAGCTGCAGTTTTTCAACATTAGCTGTTTTCCACCCCATAGCCCTCCACACATGTCTGCAGCGTGCTGCGAAAGCCAAGAGGTGATCTGCGGGAGTTTGGCCAGAGCGATTTTGCTCCATTGCCATTTTGAGCCTGTGCCACTGAGCAGCTGAGCAAAATGCGGCTCATCCCACCTTGAGGCTGTATGAGTAATCCTATAGTAACCGCAAACAAATACAGTGAGGAAATTCCCCTTTGCTGAGAAGCCCTGCTGAAAGCGAAATGGGAAACAACACAAGGGGAGTAAGTATCTCGCTAAAAAATAACTTTAACCCATTTGCAAGTATTTACTAGCATCTCCTCTGTGCACTCTAGTGGGATTTGCATAGGTGCCTCTCCCTTAGAGCACGAACCTCAAGCAAAAGGAAGCTGATAATTTCTTTCATCTGCATTACTGATGTACCACTAATAGCTTCTAATAGTTGGTCACGGTTTGTAGTTATTTGTTTCTTCTGAAGGCACAAAGTGGCTAGCAGCAGGAGCTCTTTGGCTTGGTTTTCTGTCAGGCTTCAGAGTTTCTTACCCAAAGGTAGCTGGGCATCTGCTGAAGGGCACCGTACGTGTCACAGGGTCCTCCAGCCCTTTCCTTTTAACTATTCCTGTACTAACCAGATCCAGCCACTGTTTGCTCAGGGGTCTGCCTGGCTGTGCTTTTTCATGGTTGGTTTTACCATCCAGAGGTCATCTTTCTGTCTTTCTGTCTGTCTCAGCCACATACATCCCTGATGCCACCTTCCTAGGAAATTCGTCTTTGAGGGATTCGTAGAAGTAAACATACAGCTGATTAATCTCACCTACATAAAAGAGGGAGAACTCGAATTTGCTCAAATATTTTCTCCTCCCTCTTGGTAAGAATTGATAGGAGCACTTAAGGCTATTTTACACCTTCTAAATGAAATGCTGTTTCCTGTGGTTATAAATGTGAGCAGCTGGAAGTCCTCTTATTTTCCCCCGGCTGGCAAGGGCAGCAGCCTTTGTCTCCTGCAGCCAGGAAGGGATGCTGACCCCACCTTGGAAAGGGCCAAAGCCAGCCCAAATCAAAGAGAAGCAGAGACTCTTTACGTACTTGGCAAGTGCTGGCAGGGGGCAGGGGCAGGGCTGGCAGAACGTGGGCACTCCGCTGACAACGTCACCGATGAAGCCATCCAGACATTGCTCGCAATGCTGTCCTGTTGTGTTTCTCTGGCAGTCCTTCAGTGGAAAGAGAGAGTGTGGTGAAAGTTAAACAGATGTGCTGCCTAATTCAGAAAGAAATTATTTAGCTGAAGACCCGGCCAAGCAGAACAGGGCAGATGCCAGACCCCGACCCTTCAAGGCACTGAGAGATGAAGCCAAATCAGCTAGCACCGCTACAAATAAAAATGCTATAAATGATTACACTGGCCAGCCAGCAAGTGTTGGCAAGGTGCAGTACGGGACAAAACAGACATATGTGCCTGCCAGGTGCTGGAGCAGAAGCAGCACTGCCTGTCGTCAGAGATGTCAGGGGTACTCAGGTGTAGCTGGCAGCCCTGTTTTGAGTTGCATGTGCCAGTAGGAAAAAATCCCCTTTACTGACACTGAAAGAAAATGAAAAATATCTGCTGGTAAATACTATCAACAGATTTCAGTCTAGATACAGGTTTCAGCAAGGCTGCTTCTTGGACTTGATGACTGGAAAAGAGCATCAGGGGCATCTGCCTGCAAATAGACCAGCTCTGATGTTTTTCTTCTGAGATGAAAAGTGTTACAGCATGAAGGAATGTGCTGTAACTACACCTTTTTCTCAGCCTTAAAGGAGGTCCACTTAATGGAGGGAAGAAGCAGGAGTCTTCTATAAGTGGCCTTTCAATAAAATATAGAGCAACTGTGTGAAATGTCACTCACTTTATAAGCAAGTTTCATCTCCACGGTTTAATGTTTGTGAGGAAATACGCTTCCTCATGCAGAAGCAAATCGGCCACCAGCTGATATTTTGGGGCCCCATGGAAGTAAATCAAGCTGTGGTAATTCATACAGAATATTTGTTCCAAAATATTTCATGATGTTATGTACAAAATTGTGCCTCTCAGATAATATTTTCAATCACAAAAAAATGTCAAGGTTTACTGCAAATAATTCTAAATAGAATTTTTAAGTCCTGCAAGCTTAAGTAAGCATTGTTATATCTTTTGGTTTACAAATGGACACACTTAGATGCCACAGGTTATGTGGGCTTTCCCCTAGATGCATGGCAAGGCGGTGGGTGACTGGTGCAGGGTGCATAAACAGTGCTCCTGCATGCTGCAGGACTCCTGCAGGCTCCTGTTTCCCTTTCCACTTTAGCAAAATACCCAGAAGTTGCCACCCAAACCCCACACCCTCCAAATTCTAGCTGTCTCGCCAAATTACTTTAAAAGAGTAGGAAGGGTGCAGAAGTACTTTTCTTTCTTGCAACTGTGCAATGAATTTTGCAATGTCCCTGAATCAGACCTCTCCAATTACACCACTTCATACCAATGCAGTACAGATGCAAACAGCTATGCAAGGCTTGAGGCAGCAAGGAGCCAGCTCCATGGCAGAAATATGTGGAGAACTGCTCTGTCAGTGCGTATTTGCTGTGGTTTTGGGTTAGAGTGCTTGATTCTTTCCTCTTCTGACCTACAAGCAGTGGATCATGGAAACTGCAGACTGATGGATATGATTTCCGTCCCTGGTAAAATGACAGTGTTTATAATAGAGAAGAAGATCTCTGAGTACATGACTAAGCATCATCTCAGTCAGGAACCCCTGCTGCACTAACCTGCTGTATAATGGTGCAAATAAGCAAGTGTATGAAGAGGAACCAGAGGACATAACATATCTGGACTTTCAAAAAAGCCAACTAAGTTGTCAGGGGACTTGAAGAAAGTTTCTTTTACGAACGGAAAGCTGATAAAGGCTAGGAAGCAACAGGTAGGATGTAACGGTCACTTTTCAGCGTGGGGAAGAGTCACTATTTGGATCACCTAGGCCTTGGTGCTGAGACCAGTTTTGTTCAATATTCACCAGTGTCCTACAAACAGAGACCAAAAATGGTAGGGCTGCTCAGCTGGGAGAGGAAAGCTGACAGGAGAGTGTGTTTGGGTTATGTAAAATCACAAAGTTGGTAAATAAGCTGAATGCAGGACAATAGTTCACCTGAATCCTGCAATACAAGAGCTGAGGGGCACTGACTTGAAAAGGTACTTCTCTACACAGAAGGTAAGAAACTTCTGTAAGCTGCTGCCAGGAGGCAACAGTATTTGCGGGGGCAAAAAGGAGTTTCCTTGAGAAATTAATGGGCCACAGATTCATAAATGGATTCGAAAAGGATTCAGGAGATGGATGCTGGTGGAGTACGAAGCAGAGACTTCAGAAGCGGGCCAGGCTAGGTGCCCTCCCCAAACATCATCGTCACTGCTGGAGACCCAAGATGGGCTGCAGAGACCTTCGGTTGGGCCCTGCCGGGGACCTCTTGTGCTACCTTCAGAGTTGGCGCAGGTGTTAGTCATTTAATCCCATCACAGAAGTCACTGTGCTGTCAGCAGCTGGCAGTCCCTGGAATAACAGGGAAGCTGGGTGTGGGATTTCAGGAGCGCTCGCAGCAGGAGGGAGCTCCCCAGCATGGGGCAAGGGGCACCTTGGCCTCTCTGTGGTAAGAGCTTCTTCTGCAGTGCCAGCCTGGGGTGGGTGAGCTTAGCTTACCCATTTTTCACCTGAGCCAGTCCCTGCAGATTTGAAACTCACTTTCTACCCCAATCACAGTGTGTTCTTTGAAGAAAAGAGTATGAGAAAAGAGGAATGCGATTAGGGAAGATGTTTAATGAAAACAAATAGTCAAGTTTCACTTGCACAGGCATTGCTAAATGAGTTTTGTATCCGAGTGTTGTAACTTTGATTTAGTGGCAGAATTTTGTCCTGGCAACATTGATGTTTTGGTCCGTGTCCCCCCCCCGAGTCTGTGTCCAGATATTATCAGTCTACATTGAAAAGTGTAATTTCAGTAGAGGACACTCACCCTTGTGAAAGGGTGTTTTTTTAGCCAATATTCCTCATTTGAATCCCATTAAAGCCCCCATTAGGACTCATTAATTTAGTTCAGATCCTTTTTGATTCTAGAAGACTTTGCTTATGTTGCTGCATTTTTTATAGTCATACAGAACCTATTGCACAGCAATTATCTATTTCTACAAAGCTGTGATTTGGCCAAAGAACTCTACAGCAGGTAGACTATGACAAGGAAAGGAAAAAAGTCAATTTCTTTTTCCATGGATCTTTAAATAGATTAAACACCAATAGTTGTAGAGCTAAAGGTGTTTTTTCATAGTAATATTTGCTGTAAAGAAGAGAGTATTTGGTATACAGAAAACCAGAAGATTATTTTAACTAAAAGGCTCTAAAATGCAGAAAGCTTGACTGGGAGGAAGAGGAGGAGGAAAGAAACTTGGTGAGAACAGAGAAGCTGAGAGCAAAGGAGGGCAAAGTGGCAGGCAGCCGCTGGGGAGACGGCCAGATCTCGCACTCTTCTTTTGCAAGAATGCCCTAACCATGAGGCACACGGTGTGAGCCAGAAGGCAGTGGAAGGCTAATACAGTTTTAAAAATAATTTGCATTTGTCATTATTCAATGAAAAGGTGATTTTAATGTACCACAAGAGAGAGATGAGAGCGTGGGCACTGAGCGTCCGAAGAGAAAGAGCAATCCTGTATCTGAAGCACTGGCGGAGGCCTCAGGTGGGCTGCATTCGGTTGTAGCCTTCATCATGCTCTTCATTTTTGCTCTGAGCAATTCACTTCACCTCTCTTGTCCTCAGCTCTCCAAACAACGTATGGGTATTATCAGAATAAATCCATTATTGGTTTCCAAAGCTCAGATACGATTGTGATGAACAGAGCAGGGCAGCAGGGGAGCTGATGTTGCTCCTTAAATCTGCAGTGTTTTTCATCTTCTAAACCAAAGGGAAGTGCTAAAAAGCCCTTTTACCCCAAAGACCCTGTTAGCTGAGTGCTTGAGGCACTTTTGTAGTTTTTCTCTGGTTAGTGATTATGTAAAGGTGGCTTTATCTTATTTAACAAGTCAGAACCCTGTGGGTATTTCGAATCATATTTTTACAGTGATAAAAAAAAGATTTTATGTTCCATTAGCTTGCATCTCCCATGAAACCGCTGACTGTAAGAAGCCTGTGAGACATCTCTGAAGGCAGGGAGGACACCCTCCCTGCAGCTCACGGCTGATTCTCAGTGCCGGGTGGCACTGGCATGTTAGCTTGAGAAAAGTGTTTTGCTTCTAAATGGATCACTTTTGACAGGGAAATAATGATGAGGAAAAAAATGGAATTCCATTTATGGCGATTTTTGTGAAATTGGATTTTAAAGAAGTGCTTTGCTGTAAGAGTTGCAAGGGCTACTCTTGGTCCTGGTATTCATAAATGCTTTTGAATGAAAGGCATCATTTATGGTTGTTGTTATAAATCGTGCGATATATGTGTAGGATTGCTCACCACTGTCTCAGTGGTTCATTCAAACGTACTCAAAAAATTGTAGAAATATGTTTACTATATTGGTGTCTACTTTTTTAAATAAAGAAACTCAGTATATAGTTTTTGTTTTGATTTCCTTTGAAAAACAAGGAAGATTGAAGGAAAAATCTCTAGAAAATATGCAGTGATCTGTATCTTAGGACATCAAACACTGAAGCTTACAGAAAATTGCTGCCTGTCTTTCTACAGAACAGAGTTAGACATGGTAAAGGTCATGAAACCAGATAAAACCATGCAGTTAAAAGTATTGCAACTAGGTGTTATAATACTCTGCTTTTGATAAACTATGTTTTAAATTACAGTAAGTGAAAATTCTAAGCTAAATTATTTCCATATAATTATTAATATTTATTAATATAGTTAATATTTATA